CCCAATTACCGCATTACAGGCTTCTCCAATTAAGCCCGCATCATAATTGAGATCGCATGTCTGCAGCTGGGTAAATCTCTACCCTTTAACTTTTGGTGAAAGAGTAGGGAAAGGAGATGCTGAAGTGGTTTGAATGGACCAAAGCGCGCATGATTCCATTGTGCCAAAGACAATATCCCCATGGACGGGCGGCACACGGGCTACTCTACATAATTTATTACAAGGTTCAATTACGGTGCGGCAAACAGATATGATGCTGGCTGGTGTACGTCACTGGGGAGATTCCTCGTTCTAACCTAAACTGGGAGGCAGTTCTCTATTTGCTCATCATTATCAGTAATCTAAATTAGACACGCTCAAAATCTCCACTGGCTTTGGAGAGTCCTCTTGTGTTTAGTATGGATGTCACTGGTACAGGTTTTAGAAGACTCAGAGGGCACCCGTTGCCTAGTCACTTCGTCTGATAAATTCGCTACTGCTAGTAGCGCTTCTATAAGGGTTATATGTGCGTTTGTGGTGAAAAAAATTATGACGAGTGAGAGTGTGCAGCGATGAGTGGTTTAGATCCTTGTAGTCACTTAGTCTGCATCGTCGTTTCGATCAGCACTGCTTCGTTTCATTTATTGGCTTGGAGCAAAGTTCGCCAGGTACAGCTGAGAAAAAGGTCGCGCGCGGATCAGCTCTCAAGCGCATTAATTACGCTCGCTGGCCCAGGTTGCGTCTGTCGTTACAGTGCAGGCACGAAATGGACACCGTCGTACTTTCCATAGCGGTTAGACCCATTAGCCTCAGAAGTTGTAAAGTGTGTGGTGAGCCTGGCTATCGTTCCAGTATGAAGCTGCGGAAAAGTTTGCTCTCCAAGTACACAGTGGAAACTACCCCACAAAAAGTACTCTATCGAATAACGAACCCGCTCAGTCTTGAACCTATTCAATCCAATAGAAAATAATAAGTCCTCAGCTTTAGTTGAGAATTTTTGAGGCCAAAAATGTCGCGGCGATTGAGCACAACAACGCCCAATAAGGGTTCCGCCCAGGCTGGTTCTGGTAATATGTTCAGATGGAAAATTCAACTATAAATAATTAATCAATGGGTCTTCAGTTTAGTCGAACACTTTCAGTCATGGACCTGAGTGTTGGACAAGTTGTAACGGGCGCAATCTACTTTCTCGTGATAACAGGAGTGCAAGATCCAGGCAACCGAGGATCTCGAAGGGCAGTTGCAGCTACCTGGCTATATGAATTCTGTATGCACTGGGCAGTAGGAACAAACGGATGTTGGCAGCAGATGCTGTTTTGTGCACTGTCGGGAACTAGTTCTACGGAAAAGCGGGATGATAATCACCGTTAATAAAGCAAAATGTACACTCAATTGTAGCGCAATCGGTAGGGGCAGAAAAATGGTCACCAAGGCAGGTTGTCTTTCTGGGAGCAATAGCGAGTAAGTACCAACTGGTATGCAACCAAACTGACACTGACAAACATTCAGCGTAAATTGGTCGTAAACACAGATTACGGCGCAGCTAACATCAAGTAGGTTCCAAAAGTACATGACTGTATTTGGCTCACGGCGAAAAGTTGCGATGACAAATCGGATCGCGCCCTTGAGTCTGTTTAAAAAATTCAAGGAAGGTTTTCTGGCATATGTGGAATAATGATAAAACAAAAATAGGGCAGGTGAGAAGTCCTGGCTTAGCTAATAGAGAATGAGCAGATTTTAAATGAGTGCAAACCGGAGAAACAAGCAGCAAGAAAACGAAATAGCAGCATAATGAACAGGAGGAAATTACGCTACTCCCATGTAGTAATAACATAAATGAAGAATAACCACTGATCGCTAAGGAATCAAGATGAAGGGCTGCTAAATCGTACTTCCGGTTAGGCGCCTCAATCCAGAAATCCTCATAAAAAGCGGGTTGAATAGTATGCTGGGCGAACTCG